GAAGATGATGCTGTTTCTGATAAATTACTTGTAATAATATTACTGGTATTGCTGTTTTCATGGCTAATTAAGCTGCTGGTTTCATCATTAATATATTGAAAATTAAAACTGTCAAAAAAATTTTCATGTTCTATTTTATTGATAAGAAGTTAAACAATAACTGTTAGAATAAAAAAAATATTAGTATTAAACAAACTTGCTGAAATATAAAGAAACAATAAAAACAGCAAAAGTAAAGTCATTAAAAAGTTTTTATTTATAATCTTATATTATGAAAAAATGAATCAAAATCAAGTTGTGAAAATTTTTGATCATTTTATTTTATTACTTTATATATTTCATTTTAATTTGATTTTTCTATTTTTGTTTCTATTTAAATATAAAATATAAAAAATCAAAATTGGTTTTAATTCAAACCAAAACTAATCTGATCCAATTTTTATTGGTTTAAAATTTTAAAAACCAAACCAATTTGAACTGAAACTGATTTGCAGATCAATCGGTTTTCAGTTTAAAACTTTGATTCCTAATTACAATATACAACAACTCACCAAAATAATATAATAAATATCTGAAATATATTTTAGTTATTATATTATTTATATTACAATACAACAATATTATATAATAACAACATCACAAAATCTCATATAACCAAACCTATCGAGTTACATATAACTTGTATAAGGCTAACACCTGACTGAAATATTAAATTGTATTTAGAAATTATATTTAATAAAAGTTTTAATTTTTTTTCTTTTTTTTTTTTATTCAAATATTTTATAATTCTAATAATCTCACTCCAAATATTTTTTTATTTTCTATTTTTATAACAAATAGTTTTTCAAGTTTTTTTTGCTTAAGGATTTTTCAAATAATATATTTGTTTAATAAATAATAAGCTAATATCTATAATAATATAATTTATATTTTAATATTAATCATGTAACAAGTTAAACTTTTACTTTATTAATAAAAATCATAAGTAATATCTTATTTTAATATTAAAATATATATACAGTCATACCTCTCTTATATCACACCGTCAGGATAAGCAAAATTGTGTGATTAGGTGGAGGTGTGACTATAACTGTATACTTCGGTTAAAATTGGTCATGTGACATTGTCACGTCTAATTTTACCCCTTACGTAAATGATTTTGTATTTTTTACTTCTTTAGCTTTAACTATCGATCTTTGGAGAAATATGGATTATACTATGCAATCAAATCACTCCCTAGGGGCAAGCATTTGCCGTTCTCTTCACAGCTCAAGGACAAGAAAGATACGCTACGCTTGGACCTTCATTTATTGTTACTTCTAATTCTGATCCGAACAGCCAGCCACCACTTCGCGCAGGAGAACTCGAGAGGTATGTTCAATGATCAGATTATCTGTAAATGGCGGTACCTCAGATGATCTTCTCGTGTAGTACCGGAGTAACAGGGATAACTCTATTATATTAACTGCCTTATGGTTTGTGTTGGAAATTTTAGGTTAAAAAATGTGTTCTTTGTAGTCATTCAGAAAAGGAAAATAATGCAATGAAGAGAACGAACGGAAATAATTGGGTACACGTTTTGTGTATCTTCAGAGCCAAACTCCCTATGAAACGTATGACATCTGCACGGGGTATGGTACGACAGACCCTAGCTCTATACTCCAAGTTTCAATAAACTCCGGATCTTACCATTGATGAACTTGTAAATAATACCTTTTCACGATTTTTATGTTTTCTAACCGCTCATCTACTCCAGAATAATAATAATATGATGACAATGGCCTCGGTGCCAAGCGAACATGGAGATCCTTTGTTTCGTAACACGAAGAACAAGATTGTATCATTATCAAATAAAAATCGAAAGGTAAATAGATGCTAGTGATAATAGAAACAATAGAAATGACTGACAAATGCTTTTTTTTTTTTGATAGTCGAATTCTGCAAGAAATATTTGGGCAAGTGAAAAAAAATGTGATATCGGGAGTTATTATAAACTAAGATTTTTTTTTTAATCCATTTCCCTTTATTTTCATCTATTATCTTTTTGAGTT